TGGGCCTGGGCACTGTCCCTCAGCTCTTCAGCTCAAGGCTAGCGCTCTACCACTTGAGCCACAACACCACTTCCGACTTTTTTCTTTTTGCTTATGTGGTGCTGAGAAATTGAACCCAGGGCCTCATGCATGCAAGGCAAGCGCTCTACCACTGAGCCACCTTCCCAGCCCCTAAAATTTACTTTAAAAGGTGGAGGTGGGCTGGGAAGGTGGATCAGTGGTAGGAGAGCTTGCCTTGCATGCATGAGGCCCTGGGTTTCATTCCTCAGAAAAAGCCGGAATTCGTGCTCTTCAGATCTCAGCCTCCTGAGTAACTAGGATTATAGGTATAAGCCACTGGGACCCAACTAAATCTATGAGGCTCTGTCTCTAGTTAACCACTAAAAAGCCGGGAGTAGAGCTCTGGCTCAATTAGTAGAGCACCAACATTGAGTGAAAAAGCTCAAGGACTAGGCATGTACCTTTGTTGAAGCCCCATTTCAGCATGCAAGCATGCGTATGCACACACACACACACACACACTTATATACACAGACACAAATTCTGAGGTGTTGGAAATGGCGTGGTAGCTAAAGGGGTAAAGCACTCACCTTCAGCTCAGGGACAACACCCAGGCCCAGAGTTCAAGCCCCATGAACACCTCCCCCCTTCAAAAAAAAAAATTGAGGTGTTACTTAAATACAACAAAATTCACCATTTAACATATGTAAGCAATTGTGTTTTGTTTTTTTTTTCAAATACACAAATTGTGCAGCTACGAGGCAACTCAAATTTTAGAGCATTCCCCAGTGTAATATTGTAATACCATTCTTTTGTCTTCTCTAGCAATTTTGACTGGAGCACCTGTTGGGCTGGGAAACCCTAGTTCTCTCGGAGTGGGTCAACAGTCTACACCTAGCTTAAGCACTGTTAGTCAGATTGATCCCAGCTCTATTGAGCGAGCCTATGCAGCTCTTGGCTTACCCTATCAAGTAAACCAGATGCCACCACAACCGCAGGTGCAAACGAAGAACCAGCAGAATCCCCAATCTGGACAGTCTCCTCAAGGCATGCGGCCCATGAGTAACATGAGTAAGTTGATGTCTTCCTAGACACATTCGTTGAATGATTAAATTCTGGCTAGAAATTCGGTATTAACTCCTTTGATGGATTATTCTTTTTTTTTCTTAAATTATTATTTAAATTGCTATATGTGTTATAAAGATCCTTTCATAGTGTGTACACACTCAGGAACTGCTTCTGTTATATTTCCTTTTTCTTTTCTTGTTTTTGTTGATTGTTTGTTTTGTGTTGGTTCTTCAGCTTGAACTCAGGGCCTGGGCACTGTCTTTGAGATTTTGTCCTAAAGGCATGCTGTAATATTTGAACCACAACTTCTCCACTTCCAGCATTTTTGATAATTACTTGGAGATAAAAGTCTCATGCAGTTTCCAGGAGGATTTACTTCAAATCCAGATCTTCAGAGATAGCAGTTTTCTGAGTAGCTAGGAGTACAGGAATGAGCCACCAGCACCTGCCTGTGTTTCATTTTTGATCCTCATTTTGATCCTATGTTATTGTAAGTTGCTGAAATGAGATCACATGTATTAGTCCACAACTACCTTTACACTGAATGGTTATTTATATTAAATGTCCAGTAACTTAAATATCCAGTCAAAAACTCTTCTCTCAGTCATAAGTATTTTTTTAGTGGCTATATACTATCTTCAGGTATGCAACCGTTTTCTCCAAGTAGATATTGAGGATTACAATTTTTTTTAGTTAACTCTCATGGCATTTGCTCCTTTTTAAATTTTTTATTAAAAAATTCATTTTATTAAAAAATTCATGCTAAGACTATCCATAGATATCAAAATTGGGGGATGAGGGCTGGGCTGTAGCTCAATGGCAAAGCGCTTGCCTAGCAAATGCAACTTCATGGCTTCAGTCACTAGTACCATAAAAGAAAAGACCGAAAAAAAAATAGAGCTTAAAAAAAAATTGGGGGATGAGGGTTGGGAATGTGACTTATGGTAGAGTACTTGCCTAGCATGCTTGAAGCCCTGGGTTTGATTCCTCAGTACCACGTAAACAATAGAAGCTGGAAGTGGTGCTGTGATTCAAGTGGCAAAAGAAGCTCAGCTATAGTACTCAGCCAGGACCGGCAAAAAAAAAAATAGTAGAATGCTCAAATCCCATTTATAAAATGGTGTACTGTTTGCAGGTAATCTACATATACCTCCTACATAAATTTCTCTCTAGGGATTATGAATGTGGCTTAATGGTAAAGTGCTTGACTGTCATGCATGATTTCCTGGGTTCAGTTCCTTGGTACCACGTAAAATAAAAAATTAAACAGTAAATTACTCTCTAAATTATAATACTTAATACTGTATAAAATAGTTGTTTAGGGGGCTGGGAAGGTGGCTCAGTGGTAGAGCACTTGCCTTGCATGACTGAAGCCCTGGGTTAGATTCCTCAGCACCACATAAGGAAAAAGCCAGGGGGCTGGGAAGGTGGCTCAGTGGTAGAGCGCTTGCCTTGCATGCATGAGGCCCTAGGTTCGATTTCC